GTTCACATTAAACTACCCATATCTTCTGGGTTTCACTGCATCGACATCATCATCCTCGCATTAACTCCTGACCTTGCGGTATGTACGAGCTAGTAATGATCACAGGTCGAAGATTCCAGTAAGTCTGATCCATCGTTTCATTGTTGAGTCGAAGCTAGAACCAACCGGTTGCATCCTGATATTCAAAAAGTACAGACGGGACATGAATCCTCCTTGTAGTGACGGACTTAGCAATCTACATCTCCCTGCATCACAGACACCGCCACTGACACTTCATTATCATAAAAATCATCTCCAGTCCACTCAGAGTCACTCAGTAAATCCTGGCACGTACGGCTTCACGAAACACCGCGCACAAGAGCTTGATGAATCACCCACTTCGCCCTCCTTATACGCCCTGCTTAATTCTCATTTCGTCTCGGACATTGACGACTCGGTTCAGACTTTCCAATGGAAGGAGTCTAATGAAATCCTTAGAAATTAGAGCATTGCTCTTCATTTAGACCTGCAGTAATCTTTGTAGTGCGAGAATATGTCACACTTTGCTCAGATAAAGGAGTTGAATGAGGTTGAAGTTTCGCTGGGGCACTGTCTGGCTCTGCAGCTGAGGTTGTGATGGTGATTATGGTGACCTGTAGGTCGTTGTTATTTGTCGTTATCTGTTGTATCAGGGCGTGGTGGTATAATCTTCAGACCCACCACTATGTCACCATCTCCGTGCATGATATGGTGATATGTGGGAACAGAGGTGGTTCGTGTGTGCATCTGCATGTCATGACTCCCTCTCAGACGTTCGGCGACATTGGCGGGAGATGGTGTCACAAGAACCGGTTCTTTCCGGGTCACTGGCTCATTCTCCGCTCAGGTCTGCGCCAAATAGGCGGAAGGAAACGTTACCTTTAAGTCGTCCCAGGGGGAGAGAAGTTTAAATTCTGCCCTCATTTTGCTACCGTACCACCAATCTTAGCGGATATTGAGAAGCAAAAACCATTGCGTTTATCGATCTCGTGCAATTTTCTTCTGCAACACCGCAATATCGTATGTTGCACACGTTGTACATTCTGTACATTGAATTTCCGATCTTTTCATATCAGGGAAGACGTTTCTATCACTGGACGGCAACCAAGCCGATAATATTTCAAACATTTCATACGTTATACACCGGAACAGCCAAGGAGCCTCCCTAAACCGACTGTTCCTAGCATTCCTTCACATATCGAGCTAATTATGTGATTTGTACAACATCTCGTGGCTGGCAAGATGTCAATATATCAGGACGACGTTCCGCTGCTGACTTCAGTATTAGTCCCAGTCACAAAAGAATCGAATGAGCACTAATCACACTCTATCAAGTCATTGTAATGGCCAAAATGTGTGGAGGACCACAACGTCTGGTGTTGGGGACCTCAGGCGGCGTATTTTATCTCCCAGACCCCAATGATATAGCTTCATGGCATCTTATCTTGATACGATACATTTGCGCACTCCAGAAGACAGCAATGACCTTTCATCTGTTTGTCGCACGCTCAATTTAATTACGGTCAACACTCCACAAAGAATAGAGCCCGGATGAATAAATCATTGAGGCCACACACAAGGGTGAAATGGCACGCACTGGGATGCGTCTTTTGGCGCGCAAAACCTAAAACTCACTGGAAAGACGACGGCGTCCTCTCTCAATTACCTCATCGTCAACTTGCATAAAAGTGCATGTGTCTATTGCACACAATTAAGTGTCCACATGAAAAGGCATACGATAGAATCCAGCCCAAACCCCCAAAACCCTTTCTATATAGCAAAATTGGAGTAAGAATAGTCGTTGTATTTTAGCTACGTATCATATATACACAGTTACACTGGTCTGCACATTAGTGTTCCTGTTATCTGTACATCTAAAAACCCTTGTCGCCACCACGTAAATAGCTGACCCTGTCTTCATTGGCACCCCCTGAATGAACTGTACTGCAATCCGATCTCCATTGCATGGCTGCATGGCCGTTCCGACACACAACTGCCATGTGACATGTCTACGTGTTTCGGTGCCCCAGGCAAGCATATTCGAGAGACTTTTCATAGCCTAGCACCACTTATAACGGTAAAAGCAATTGTAAATCTCCATACGTATTCTGCATCGTTAACCTTGTAAATATTCCTCACGATAGTTTCTGTATCTAATAAGTTTTGCTATTAGTTCTCAACAACATTAGATCCAGTGACATATCACAGGAGCGGCCTTTGATTGCGAAACCATTACATATAAAAAGAGATTTAGCGAGCCCCAGATGGCATATGTAAAAGGCCCACAATCCTTTCAATCGATACCATTGGTTCTAATTTAAACGGACGGGAAGATGCATCAGCCCGACAGTTTTACTGCACAGCCTCCCCGTGGAAGCACATCCCATCTCCTAAGTATCGAGATCGTTTAAAAGGCGGAACAATCGATAAGCGATCCCGGAGGAAAAGTCAGCCATGATCATAACATTGGGCTTGGCTGGCAAATAAAACCACCCTAACTGTTGAGCGTCAGCCGTCTGGAGAATGCAAATTCTGTAGATTGAAGATTTTCTTCTGGAAATGGCTCTATTGGTAAATGTGAAAGAAATTATATTTCTTCAAGTTCAGATTTTCTGTAAGTTCGATATAAGTTACAAGGAGAAGCCGCCCGCCGAAGATGTAAACAATATAGCTCTGGTATAGACCAGTTTGAACAGGAGAGTGAACGATTCATTCTCCTTATTAAACCGGAATCCTGAGAGAAAGAATGTCCTGTCGGAGATTACAGGAGTACTCTGACTGAGAAAATCGATGATCGGGTCACGAATGAATGATAGCGGTGCCAGTGCGCATAACCTGCCGGAGAGATCCCCGGGAAGGAAGTGGGACATAGTTTGAATCACAGCGATTTGTGCCGCCTTATCGTCTGATTCAAGATGGCGGCGGGTGACTCATATTCACAGAACCATGATGCAAGGGAAGCACTCCGGAAATGAACAGACGAAACGTTCGCAATAAAAGGAAATTGAGAAACTTACACATTTCAAGTACCTTCAGACGACATTTACATCTTCTGAATTATTAATTGACATCAGGGAAAAGATATGTTTACTGTTTTTTTTTTCATTTCACGATAAAGAATCTGACAATATTAATGTTAAAGTATTATTTCTAATTGGGTTTTGTCTATTTTATCCGCATAAAGTCTAACCAGACACGCCTGGTCTGAATATTGGACAAACCTTGTTTTTGTTGGATATTACCTGAACGCCGGTACTTAATATTATCTAATTAGCAAAGGATTTTGTGGAATGTCCTTGGAATTAACTTACTCCAGCAGTGATGCTCTCTTTGCTAACTCTAAGATTTCAATCAGATCGAGAGACTGACTAATGTTGACTTGAGATGGTTTTTCCGTCTCAGCCCTACGAAATAGCGTCATGCTTTCCAACAGACGTTACCAGTATTCAAAACATTACATCTGGCTTACGGTAATGGGCTCCGGAATTGGAAAATAGATTGCAACCGTGCAGTGCATAGAAAGGTAGAACCGACCCTTCATGTTGTATTCACGTGGCATTCTGTCATAAAGACAATTATTCTGTTTGTCTCTTCCCCTCGGCGGGATGTTTCATACACTACGGATTTAATTCGCTTTCGGATTCATCACCTTTCTACTGAACACATGTTCGGGTATTCAACTCATAAAAGCTTCCAATATCATTTATATGAAGAACATTCGACGTTTTCCATGCGAAATTGCAGATATGACCTCCTCAGACATCAATGAT